TCCCCCCCCCCACCCCAACCGCCTTTACGGCACATAGCGGGACAAACTTTACTTTTACTAAACTGAGGAAAATCTTAAATGGAGGGAATTAAAAAAGGAGATTATCAATTTATCCCAGACATACTGGTCATTGCAATTGATGGCTGATCTAATATACACCACCAACACTTGTCTGCCCTTCTTTGGATCTTTCTATCCACTTCCCTATGTTCATACAACTATGACTATAGTGAACAACCATTCTGCCATAAATCCTATCGATACACCAGACAAGTTACCTACTCCACAGATTACCAACTGCAAATAGGTGCAAAGGATGAAGGTTCATACGGTTTCCACATCCATCTTCAGTGCTGCCAAGATTACTTCTGAGATAAACTAAAACCACCATTTGACCTTCCCTTCTTAGATATTAAGACTGAGTAACATACAGCAGTGAAATATTGGTAATGAGAGAAAATATTAAAAACAGAAGTGAAGTTTCAAACTGAAACAAGCTGACGAACTGTGATCATCAAGTTACAAGCATTGCCACTTCTACTAACCTGTTTGGTGAAAGAATAAAAGCTTAAATTATGCAAAATTTTAATTCAAAGAGAACCACAAAGGCCAAATAAGACTTTGAGATGCATCTGAGGAAACAGACAGTTCAACTTCAAATGTTCGGAGCAGAAGATATAAGACAACGTAATCAACGACAATGATGATTATCCTTACAGAAGGTGAATATAAACAAGATATACATCCAGTAAGACATATCACACTGTTCTAATGAATAATGAACAGGTTCAGTAGAATACAATACATGCACTCATTAAAGACGCACATAATTAAGACTGGAACTGGTATGGACTGGTTCTTGACATCTTGCGCTACTGGATTGTCATTTCCTAATCTTCAGAATGTCACAACATATCGAAGCTGAAGTTAACACTATTCAATCGAAGCTGTGAGTTGTATCACCCATCCTGTGTGCTTGTCTCACTATAGCAGGAGTCATCCAGAAAATTCTCTCGGAATGATGATATGGAAACTGAAAAATCTAGGCCCTTCTCTGCGCGACTTATATATATATGGCACAATGCAGACTCGTGTCTTTCAGTCAGAGGTGACAGAGGTAGTAAACACGAGTGAGAAACACGATTTAGATTTTGATACGCGCGCGATCTACCGCTAGAAACAAACAATTAATAACAGTGCAGACCCTAGACAGATAACTAAAACAATCAAAATTCATGATTCATAACTGTAAAAAAAACTGCAGTGAGGAAAATAATTACTTGCAACTATAATGAGATTAATAAATCCGTATCTCAAGCAAAAACTCCTAAGTCAACTACACATTTCTGTCACAATATTACTATCCAGTTTAATATTATTCATTAATCTATACTTGAGTCCCTTGAGTGGCCTCTCAACTTCTAACTAACTAACTAACTAGATGGCTTACCGAACCCGAAGGTTCATCACCGAATTAACCAAAGCCCTCCACCGGACCCTGTCCTGGGCCAACAAAATCCAGTTTCCTTCAACTCCTATCTCCCATAGATCCCGCCTGAGATTATCCTCCCATCTACGTCAAGGTCTCCCCAGCGGTCTCTTCCCTGCAGGTTTCCCAACCAGTACCCGGTGCACACCTCTTGTCCCATCCATGCACGCTACATGTCCCGCCCATCTCACTCTTCTCGACTTAATCACCCTCACAATACTGGGGGAGCAGTACAGATTTTAAGCTAGTCATTGTGCAGTTTTCTCCACGCCCCACCGTCTTCCCTCTTAGGCCCAAATATCCTCCCCAACACCCGATTCTCAAACACCTGCAATCTGTGTTCCTCCCTCTGAGTGAGAGACCATGTTTCACACCCATACAAAACAACAGGCAAGATTATTGTTTTGTATACTTTAATTTTCAGGTTCTTAGAAATCAGACGGGAAGACAAAATATTTTGAACTGAGAAGTAGCAAGCATTTCC